CAATGTGAGCGAATAGGAAAATAAATGAGCAAACGAAAACTTTTCCTTTGTACGTTTACTGTACTCGAAGTGCGCATGCAACGTGTTTGCGAGCACTCCTCAAAGAGTGAATTTCCGATTTTTCCTACTCTGTTTGCACAACCAAATCTCTTTGAACTCTTCAATGCAGATACGTATAATAACAGCGCGCCTCCTCGAAAACGTAGAATTACTAATAGATTGAAAAAGTTTATTTTTAGAGAGAGAGAGAGAGTGAGAGAGGGGAGGGGAAGAAAGGGAGGGAGGGAGGGAGGATGTCGCAAGATTCGTAATACATGGTTTGTAATTAAAAGTTTTTTTTTTTTAAATAGAAGTCGAAGAAACTTACCATTTCCAGATCTTTAAATTTTAATATTCGGTAACTCGATAATTAACGCTCAGGTTACAATTTTCTTTTTAAATAAGTTTTACTTGAAATGATTACAATGACGAATTATGCAGTCCATAAACTGTGGACGCGAGCAAAATATCCTGGTGCATTATTAGGAAACCCGATGATGCAACGGGATGTGGGTGCACATCCGACGCAATCCTTCGTCATGATCTTGATTCCAATCGAGATTAACGAACCTGACCGGTGAAACCTCATGGGTCTAGTGATTCATCGATTGGCTCAAATTTCCGCAAGCACAAATGCGCGAAGAGGCGAGTCTCGACTATCGGGGCGAAATAATCGGAAGGATAACTAAAGAGAAAAACCGATATCTAAAATCTGTATGAAAGAAATTTTTACATAATAACGTTTTGTTTAAAAAAATGCGAATGTAAATGATAAATACGCGTGCTTTTTCGAGTATGCGCGTACACGCGTAATGGACTGAAAGGCCAAAAAAAAAAGTATAAAGCCAATATTTCGTATAATCGTGGCATTAGGTGAATTTTTTATCCCGCCTCTTAGTGCGACCACTCACGAGTAAAATGTACGCCCGCTTCACTTTGATCTGAAGTCCCTTTGTGGGATCCGAGTCGTTGTTAATAACTTTGTAGCGCGGCGCTCTATGGAGAATTGGCCAGCGCGAAACTTCGCGACGCACGTAAAACTTTGCCGGTCGCTAGGCGAAGAGATATTGAACCCAGTATCTCATAAAAAATGGACTCCAACAGCAATTTCATAGAACAGACAGGCTACTTTCGATCAGCCGTCGAGATAGACAATGTTATGAGCTACTATGACCAATGACGTAGAAATGTTCGATTTTTCCGCGGAAATAAGGGCGTTTTAGGCAAGGATTGAAACCGATGGTATTTCAATCAGTTCATATTTTTGATTAAATCCAACATTTAATCGCGCGCTATCGGAAAAAATTGGAGCGAAGTATATGTCTCCAGCTTAATTTTTGCATCAAGAATTATAACAGTTTAATACAGCTTTGTGTTCCAATATAATATTATAATATTATGTAATTGTCTTGCCATAATTTATAAATATATTGTAAGGTAATAATCCTTTCAAATTTTGGTTCGTGATATTGTCAAAAATTAATGTCTTTCAATTTTTATCGGCAAATACGTCAATAAAATTGTTCGGGAATTAAATTGCGTTCAAGTGCAGGCTATCCGTAAGACTTATCGAGGAAGAAACATTTATGGGTCAAAGATTTGAGGATCGATTATTGAATATTGTATTGAGTTTAAATACATTTTATCTATTATTTCTCATTTATTTATACAAGAAACAGCAACGACTAAAAATAAAAATAAGTCAGCAACGTTTTTAACTCCGAAAGATTTTCTCCGGTTAAAGAAAATATTAGCATGTCTGGAATTGAACACTTTATTATGTGATCTATTTGTTATTGATCGCCGCACAGCTGAGGAGGATATTATTACCTGCGACGTAAAGATTTATTAAAAAATATGCACGTGTCAAATTGAATTGTCATAAATATTCGACTCATCATATCAATGGCGCCTGATCCTTCGGTATGACGCCAACTTGTGCCGATCGATCAATCATCGATTGCCACGAAATAATAAATGCGACCGATTGTTTACACGGCCGTACAGCACGCGTCTATGATTGAACGTGCTATCGACCTTTGTATACTTGCACGTTCGAGGAATTAATCTTACTTCACGCCGGAACGCAACGAATTTCATCACGGGAGCAGCTCGAAAATAATGCAATTGGTTGCGCGAGAGGACATTGGAGATATTAATCTCACTCTGTTAGTTTCGTATCGCGCTTAATAGTGGGGTTTAAAATAGAGAGGAATAAACGTGCATTATCCCAGAGTGGATAAAGATGAAAGATATTTCACCGTGTTACACTTTGCCATTTTGTCAAGCGAGAATTCCAAGAGGAAGTATTATTGCTACTAAATCAGGATTTGCGACTCCAACGATAAAACATCCCTCTTTTCCTCTCGAGTGATGCGACTGACAGATATAACGGGCTTTAAAGAATTATTGGCTCTTGGACGTTCCGAACTGCGATCAGCTATTTTCTCGATAAAGGCGAAGTTTGTTTTTGTGGATGCGCCAAAGCAGCCGCATGCTTCGTGTCGATTCAGATTTGTTAATAGCGTTCCAAAGAAAAAACGAAGAAGACGTCGATAGAGTGAAAGCCACTAAAGAGTGCATTTTCCTGTAACAAGTT